CTTTTGGTTCCCCGGCCTGCAGGCTCCTATTGCTGATGGCAAAGGGAGAAATAGGGTGGGTGGCAGTGGGGGACGGAACTGGTGAGTGGGTGGAGCATCCGACCTCTTAGTCCCTCCTCCCAGCCCGCAGGCTCTGATAGCTAATGGCGAATGGGAACCAGGGTGGGTGGCCAGGGTGGGTGGTGTCGAGATGGCCCTGATCACAGGCTAGGCCTAGGGACTGTACCCGGGCCTCTAGTAGAATCATTACAGCTCAGATGCTATCTCTAGTTAATTTCCCTTTAGTAGTATCAGTCAATACCTACCTTAAAAAAAAAAGTTACCAGGCAGTCATTTCTCTCTCCATTGTTAATTAAACCCAGCCACATCTACCTCTCCCCTCCTACTCAGGATCTCCTAAGCTGTCTCTACTCTCTGCTCACCTGCCAAATCCTGGTCACCCTGGTTACACTGGGTCTTCCCTGCTACCGCTGGGTTCTAAGTCTCCTCTCTGCCTCCAGTCTCCTTCCCTTAATTTGTTTCTTCCACATGGCTGCCAGTGCATCTTTCTAAAATTCAAGCATGGCTGTGTTATTCCTTTCAGGAGATCCCCAAAGTACAGCCTCCTTAGCTCGGTGTCTGGTTTTCATAGAAGATGGTTATGTAACTGATGAAAAGGTGTCAAAGACAAAGAAGTTGTAAAGTTTCTTTAGTGGCCAAAGATACAGAGACTATTAGAGACCGGTGTTACTCCCTTCTGAAGCTTTCCTTATGGTGTTTACTCGGCCTAGAATGTCCACTTCATTTCCTGGATTTCACTTTCCTGAGTGTTAGCTCTAATTTGACTTCTATGTGTAGTTCAGATATGATTTTTTTCCCTAGAAGACCTCGCTGCTACCAGTGTTGCGGTTCTTAGGTTCCCCGAGATGGAAATTGAGAGGAAACCCCAGAGGAATTCTGAACTGGCTCAGGGGCTGGCCCTGCTTGGCTGCTTTCATAAGCTGGGGACATAAGCTTGCGTCGAAAGGTGGGCTTTTTTACAAAGGCAGGCTTGAAGAATTTTCCATTATAGATTCTGGTGACTTCCTTTTCCAGCTGCTTTGCTTAGTAACTATGTTGGCTCCTGGGCTGTGGGGGCAAGCTGGCTAATTGCTCATTATGCCACCCTAAGAAAGGTTGTTTAGTGGTCGCACCTTGGGGTTAGTAGTTTAAACCGGCAGTTCAGAAGGGACATAAAATTAGTTACTTCTGTGCTTTTGAGTAGGAAGTGGAGGGGTTTGCATCAGCTAATTATTTTCCAGTCCTGTGGCCAAGTCCCTATGCTGTCTCACCACAACCCCCACCCGTTTGATGAGGTGGTTTTTTTCTGTGTTCCTATAGCTCTTTGCACATCTGTCATTAGTAGCCTGTGTGTTCTACAGAGCACTGTTCAAAAGGTATTGTGAAATAAATCCATGTTAAACATATTAGAAATCAAACACTTTAGAATTTCTCAAAGCCTTTAATAGGCCTAAGTGCATTAATTAGTATTCTCCAGGAGAAGGATCAGTTTTATATCGTGTGTGTGTGTGTGTGTGTGTGTGTGTGTGTGTGTAAGTAAGTGTAAGCGAGTGCCACTTTCTGTTGTTCCTGTGAGGATTTTAATTTCATGAATATATAGTCTTTGCTCAATTAACTCTGTTTCCTTGAGTTTCTGTGTTTTGGCTTGCTGAGTTTGGAGCATGCCTAGCATTGTTTGGTTTTGTTCAAACCTTTCAGATGTGTTTGTTTCTGTATTTGGGGTTCCTTGTTGACTTGTTTGAGGATACTTAACTGTTTATCATAGCCTGCCTCTGGTGGTGAATGAAAAATGACTTGCTCCAATATGGGACAAGCCACCTCAGGCTACTTCACTGTGCTATTCCGGGTGCTCTGTGCTGGCTGGAACAGTCCTGGGAAAAGAGTGCTCTAGCATGCAGTGCTGTTACAGGTCTCCCTTTCCATTACCCTAAAAGCTGCTCCTGCTCTGCCCGCCACACTCCTGGTTTGCATTGACTTGAGCTTGGAGGACCTTCAAAGGGCTCCACTTTGCATTGGTTTTATGTTTTGGATTGTCATTAGGTTCTGTATTTACTACTATCTTTTTCTTTCCTCTTTCCTTAACTCTAATCACATTTTTTTAATCTTGCAGGGATTCTTCCAAACTGCTTTTCTGCTTATGGCACTACTTGCCTTGTAGCAATGTTATAGATTTGCTTTTAAAGTCTGTTTTGATATTCCTGGAGATTTAGATAAAAAGGGGAAGTTGTCTATTCTCCTATAATCTTTATTTACATGTGAATCCTTCATTTATTCACCTTTAAACAGTCCTTTAGTTACCCATGGGAAATGCATGGTATCAGTACCTTGAGCTCTTTAGTTAGTTGACTATTTCTTCATGTCATGTGCGTCTCTTCAGAGCCAACACCATACAATATTCATCTCTATTTGTATTTCCTTGCAAGATGCTGTAAAATGGTAGCTGTTTCAGTTGAACCAAGTTTTACCTATTAAATCCAAGTTTACAGAAAATATAAAGTAGAAGATGAATGATTGTTCTACAAAAGGAATCTTTTAACCATAATTAGTGCCTCTTGCATTTCAGGGTACATTTGTTTACAGTTTTAGGGACTATTAAAGAAATGAAGATTCCAGTTAGTCATACATTCTGACTAACAAAGTTATCTGTTGTTTCAGCTTTCTTTAGTCCCAGATTTAGAGCCACTGAGGTAAAACCATACTACTACACTTGTCTCAGAAAACCTAGAAAAGAAAATTATTAATGGGGCATCGTTTAAATTTTCTCTTGTGGTGTGATTACAGTATTGCTTTAAAATATTGTGTGTTTATTTACACCTGAAGTAGTACTGCCTGTCAGCATAAAGATGTGGTTGTAAGAATGTTTATCAGAGCATGGTTCACAGTAGTAAAAATTGGAAACAACCTAAATATCTAAAAGTAGAGAGTAGGTTAAACAATATGCTAGAATATTATGCTGTCATTAATTGTGGTGACAGTGAATTGAACATTTCTAACCAAATACAATGCCTAAAAACAGTTAAAATTTTAATACTACAAATTTAGGCAGACTCCAACTTAGATGCAAATTCTAAATGCTTATCTAATAATAGCTAATTTTTATGTATTATGTGGAAGGCTTTCCATGCATTATCTCAATCTAACAACTCTTTTAGGTAAATAGATGTTTGTAATATTCCCATTTCCCATGTGAGAGATAACGCTTTGACAGGTTAAATAACTTGCCCAGGACCATACAAGTTAGTGGTAGAGGATTTGCGTCCAGGAAGCCTAACTTAAGAGGTCATGCTCTCAGTCACTAAGATGCTCTACTTGGCTTTGAACTGGTGGATGCGTTTGTGTATTCCCTTGAAGCAGTGACATGGGTCCCAAGATAATGTAGAGGAATAAAAAACTTAATAAAACTTTATTGATTACATGACATTCATACAACTGAGGAGGCTGTCAGTATCCTACTTCAAACCTGCTTCCCAGAGAAAAACATTCATAAAATTTTTAAGTCCTAATCTTGAATTTCATCATTTTGAGTCTCCTTACCTATTTCTTCTCCTCAGTCATAGCCCCACTCCATGGATCTCAGAGGAGTAAGCTTATCAATATATGTGATTTCTTCATAACTCCCAATACTTTTGAACCTTTCAAACTACCTAAAATTTACTTATTCTAAAGACTAGGTTTTTATCAAAAGGCCAAAAAATGTAGTACAAAAAAATGAGGCAAATAAGAGGTTTTCTAAAAAAGATATATTCACCTTTACATCTGAAAGAAGTTGAAAGTAACCAAAACAAAATAAATTATTATGCAAAGGCGTTTAGCCTTTCAAAGGTATTCATGCTTGAAAAAGTTTGTATGTTTAAATGTTAAGTTTTTTCTCAACCATAACTTATTAATACAACTTAATATTTTTTCCTTTTGAAAATGTGAATGTTAGTTAGAATTCCACATGAGTCCCCCAAAATCTGGTTGGTAAATTATAATTGTAATAATATATGCCTGAAAACTAACAATAAAATAGAATTCTGAATATAGAATGTTAAAATATAAGGGACTTAGAGTAGTTGGAAATTATGTTCAGCTGCTAGTAATAAAGACTCCCAAAATAGTGACTTACACAAAATAAAAGTTTGTTTTTCTCTCACATAAAAAGTTGTTCAGCATTTCCGTAGTCATCAAGAACCCGCTCTACTTCTTTCAATCTGCTTAATTCTGCCTAACCTTCCATTCTCAGGGCCACTCATGGTCCAATACAGCTGATTGAAGTCCAGCTCTCAGGTCCAGGCAGACAGGGCACATACACTCATACCAGGTTTTTTGTTCCCCTTTAAAATGCTTTCCTGGAAATTCTACTCCCCAATTTCAGTTTTTGTATATCTTACTGGCTAGCATGTAAGTCTATAGCAACAACCAGCTGCAAAAAAGACTAGAACGTTACTAATTCAGAATAAAATTAGGCTTTTCTTAGGAAGAAGGGGAGTATTTGTTTTTTGGAAAACAGCCAGCAGTCTCCAGCCTAAGACTGTAGGAGACATCTCATCCAGACTTTTTAAGTTTAAATACAGCTGGTTAGTGGCATAGTTGTAGTTAGAACCCAGATATCTTGCCAATCTGTATTAACTAAGCATGCTCACAATCGCTTTTACTAACAGTGAATTAGATAAAGTGATAGTAAGTCAATCTAACATTATTACAAGTGTAATTCTTTGCCCCTTTACCTCAACATCTACCCCCCTCCCCCCCACACACACTCTCACACACTTAAGTATTTCAGAATATTATTGCCTCTTTTTTGATAAACCTTTCTATGATCACTTTTCCTTCAAGATACAAGTTATATAGGCCATCTAGATTCTGTGATTAATACTTAAAATAATTTTAGTAGGCTCTAAAAACATTTAATATTTGTCTTTAATATTAATGGTTTTATAACTTTAGGAACAATTTTTTTCTCAAATTTTCTCCTACAGTATAGCTGAAATACAGAAAGATGTGGAATACAGGTTGCCATTCAGCGTAAACAACCTGACAATTAACATTAATATGTGAGTAGAAATTGTATCCTATTTTTCTATATAATACGACTATTTATTATTAGAAGTAACTTGTTTAAAGTGAACTTATTTTAAATATTCCCTTTCCAGTAACTATAATTTATCAAAGTTGCACAATTTTGTGAATAAATATTTTGTAAAGAAATTAATGTATATTGCCGTAAGAAAACTATAAAAGAGGAAATGCAATAAAAAGATATAAAAATCATGAATACTGTATTCAGTTTCATTGATCTGTACTAAAGTCTTAGCTGGAAGTAGATTGAAAGAGGAGAATGATAATAACAAACAATCAAAGAGATCATGTATGGAAAACCATTAGAGATATATTCACCTTTACATCCGAAAGAAGTTGAAAGTTCAAGACTGATTTGATCTACTGATTATTTTTAAAGGAAGAAATGTAAACATGAGGTTATTAACTTATAGAGAGGAAAGTTGGACAAATTAAGTTCTTACCTCAGGTTATATTAGGTGGCTGGCTTCTAGAGGCAGTGTGTGGGTGAGGTAAAAAGGTGCCTAACTGGAAGACAGGAACCAGGGCTGATTCATCTTCATATCCTCATTGCCCAGCGTAGTGCCTGCACAGAGGAGGCGTTACTACATTCTAGTTGAAGGAGTGAATTCAAGTATTATGCTGTGTTATCTTGGTGTACAGCAGTTTTTTGATTCCTCACAGTAGCAAATTGGGGCAAATTATAGACACATAAGTAGTGACAGCAAATTATAGACACATAAGTAGTGACAGCATAGTCAAGATACAAACCCAGATTAGGCCGGCTCCAAAGGCCACGTGTTGCCTTTTTACCAAACGAGTTTAACATCTTCAACTATATAAATTAAGTAGCTTTATTTCTCTCCAAGTGTCCTATGTACAGCTAAGTAGGAGAAGCCAACAAGGACCCAGTTTTCTTCTTGACATTGCTGCCAACAAAGAGTTTTTTGAGCCAACAGGAACAGAGAAGCAATTTAAAAGGACATACTCTTTTGAGTTTTAGAGGAAATTTGGAAAATAGTCTCATATCCAGTAAAATCCCATTTTTTAAGATTCACTCCCTAATCTTAAATTTGTAATAGGTCAAAAAAAGGTTGAAGTTTTCACTCTCTTTTATTGAGAATGTACTGTTTTTTTATTTGAAACCATGTGATTCACCTCAGAATTGGGAGAGATGTGTTAATTGGGACATTTAGAAAAGAGCCATATGAACTGAGGCATTAAGGCAGCTTTGATGTTTCATTCCTAGCACTTTCCATTTTCTCTTTAAAAATTCAGTAGATAGTGAAATAATTCTTGGCAGCATTTTAAAAGTAAGAAAACCACGTGTAAAAAAAATGATATGACCAGACCTGTGGTCCAGTAAGTAACCAGGCTGGGTTAGTGTGACTCACATGCTACAAATGCTTGATCTAATTTTTAGCTGAGATTTGTATTGGTATATTGTATTAGAAAGCAATTAATTGATACAGTGTGAAGACTATTCTATATTCATGGTATCCATGTTCCACATTAAGTAGGTTTTACTGTAAGGCAAGCATGTGAAACTCAAAGGCTAACACAGGCCAAATAAATAAGGTTTAAGTGTATGTGGGCCGCAAAAAAAAACAAAAGCTCCAATTTTCATAGAAACGTAGGTTTATTTTGATAGTGACATGCTGAATATAAAGGGCTGAAATAAATGAGCCATCGTTAACATAAAATAAGACATTTTAATAAAAATTAACATTTTTTTCTTGAACATTAACTTAGCAGACACTGAATAACTGCACAAATTAATAAGCGTGACATAAATAAACCTATTTTTCTTGTTCTCCGAAAGCGAAATATTTCCTGTTACGCACACTAAACAAGTCAGTCCAAGACTAATGATGTGGCAGTCGGCTGCTAAAATATTCACTGCTAGTATCAGTGGAGAGAAATGGTGTGCCTGTATGTAAGATGCATAAGGGAAATGAATGCAACACGATTATAATAATCAGTCATTAGCGAACATTGTAGTTATTAATAATTATGCATAACAGGATATTGTAAAAATTACGTTATGAAATTTTTATTAAAACATTTCTTACATACTGTTATGTTGGCTGGGCTGCAAAAATATTCATTGTGGGCCGCATGCAGCCAAGTTTGACATGCTTGCTGTATGGAATTACTTAATCTTATTTCCAAAGTGTATCCTTTTATATATTTTCAGTCATCTCAGCAACTATAAAAGAGCACTTATTACTGAATAATGAATCCAAATGAAAGTATGAAAATTTAACGTGTTTTAAACTAACTTTGTTTTAGGATTATTACTATGTAATGTAACATTTGTTGTCTTTGTTTTTCATCTGTTCTACCTTTACCAGATTGCTTCCTCCACAATTTCCTCAGGAAAAACCAGTGATCAGTGTTTATCCACCAATACGACATCATTTAATGGATAAACAAGGAGTATATGTTACCTCTCCATTAGTAAACAATGTATGTTTATGGTATATTTATTTCAGAGTAATAAAACAGGTGTATTACTTTTTTACTAAATACTTTAGAAATCTAAAAATGCACTTAAAATCTCATTTTGGAATCAGTAAGTTTCAAAAATCTTTTCCACTCTCTATGATAGTACCGATTCAAAGGCTGCTTTTTAGTGGCAAGGACCTGCTGAGGTTCACAGTAGATATTCCGTAGTTTTTAGTAGAAATAAAATTCAGATATGCCTTAAAGTTCTCAAGCTATGTATAACATTGATTAACGTGAATAATGTACTCTCAGTATTTACCTTTGAACCTTCCAATCTTTATAGTGAAATGTGGAAATATTTTAAAGATGCATCATTGATTAAATAGGCTTTTAATTTGATTTATGGTATTGATTCTATTAGAAAATACTGTAAGTTGTGGATTGCTGATATGTTTGACACAATGTCCTTTGCTTTCCATTTAATTCTTGACTTGCAAAAATTGGTTTTAATATTTAAGTTTTAGAGTGAAGTTATCCTAATGAGAACTTACATTCTTTTTCTGAAAGTGATTTTAATCATTCTGTATTACTGTTATTTTCAGTTTACAATGCACTCAGATCTTGGAAAAATTATTCAGAGTCTATTGGATGAGTTTTGGAAGAATCCTCCAGTTTTAGCTCCTACTTCAACAGCATTTCCATAGTAAGTATATTTATAACAAATGTTTGTATATATTTATTTTAATCAATGTAATCAAAATATAGTTTAAAAATTCAGATGATGCTAAAAAGCACTCCTTTGTTTTTACATCCCCATCTTCACAAAAATACATTCATACTTTTCAGAGACAACTGTTCTTTTAGCTGCTTCTCTAATATTTACTTTCATCTTTTTAAAAAAATTTATTGATTGATTTGAGAGAGAGAGAGAGAGAGAGAGAGAGAAGGGAAGGGGGGTGGAAAAGGGAGTGTAAAGAGAGAGAAACAGTGATTTGTTGTTCATGTGCTTATGCATTCATTGGTTGTTTCTTGTATGTGCCCTGTCTGGAGATAGAACCTGCAACCTTGGTGTACTGCTCTAACCAACAAAGCTGCCCAGCCAGGGCTACCTTCATCTTAATCAATAATATGTATATACTGCTATATTTTTATCCTATCATTTAAATATGACCTATTGGGTCCCTATTATGGTTAATAAGGATTTTAGTTATCTTTCACAAACCTCTCATTCAGTGAAATTATATCATAATTTTTACTTAAATAAATTTTTATTAGTTTGACTACACATATCCTGTCACTTAACTAAGTGCTTTACCCTAATTACATTTTCTTGTTATAACTTTTTTGCTTTTTTCTGGAGTTAATTACTTCCAATTTTTCATTGGTTTTGTTTTCTTAGATCTTTTTAGTTTTCCTGCTAACAGTCTTTTTGAGGCCCTGCAGTCTTTTACACTCTCCTGAGGGTACGTCTAGCTTTCACAAACTCTGGTTGGTCCCAAAGCCACTCTCATGGTTTAGATTTTTTTGTCATAGCAGCAGTCCACTTCCACGTGCTAAAATCTTTTCTGGTTATTAAGGCTTCATAACATATTAGCCACAAAATTGTGGTTTAAAACAACGAGCACATTTATTGTATTCAGCTCAGAAAGAGTTCATCAGAGTGAGCTCTTATCTGCTTCGTTGATCATAAGGAGGCTCTCCTCAGAGGCCTTACCTGGAGGTGTCAGCTGGTATACCTAGATGTTACCTTTATGTGTGCTGGGCTCCCTCACAACATAATGGCCGGTGTTCTAGCGTGAACATCCTGAGAGCGAGCTATGAGAAAGCCATAATGACTTAGTTGCTGAAGTCCTTCACTTTTGCTACATTTGATTTGTTGAGGCAGTTGTAAAAACTTGACCAGGGGAGAAAAATGCAAGGGGAGAAAAATGGCCTTTTCTTCTAGATAGTGGAGTGGCCTGGTTCTGCAAGGCCATATAGGACCAGAAATAATGCTGTGAACATTTTTGTAAATTACAACATGGATGCTTGGAAGATAAATTTTGAGACTTTTTTTTAAAATCTGCAAATGTCTTTAATATACAGTTACATTTAATAATTGGTGCAATTCAAATTCTAAGTTGAAGTGTTTTTTCCACTTTGAAAGCATTTCTCTATTGTCTAAATATAGGCTATTGGTGCTAAGATGTCCAGTGCCATTTTGATTTCTGATTTACATAACTTTTTTTATATCTTTGATATTCTGAAACTGCATGATGGTACAGCTTCCTGTTGATTTTTTTTTTTTTTACTTTTCAGAATAGTTATTGTATTTATCGCCCAGTCCTTCTGTTTAATTTTAAAGAACGTCATTTTGTTCATAAGTCAAGTGGCAGTGACATCTTGTGCCCGGACATCTGCGTAGCTAGATTATCAGGTTCATTATGTCCATCAGCCCTAGCTCTCATCTTTGCCTCTGGTCTATGTCCTGGAGTCATGAGCCTCACTGATATTCTTTATCTAAAAACAGTATTTCCTGTCTTCTGTTAGGATAGGGCTAGATGTTAACTCATCATTCATCTTATCTGAAAATAGAAGCCAACAAGTTTACTTGCTCTCCTTTTACATAAGTTCTATGATAAAGTGCACATTATTATTATCTTTTAATATGAGCTGGCATACTCTATTTCAGATTTTTAAAAATTAATTCTTTATTGTTGAAAGTATTACATTATAGTTGTTCCCCCTTATCCCTCATTTACCCCCTCCAACCCGCCCCGCCCCCTGCCCTATGCTAAAGTGCACATTATTAAAAAGGAAGTTTGATGCATCTCCTAGATTATTTTATAGGTTGTGTCTATCAAAGGGGTCAAAATAAAGCAAAATGGTTCAGAATTATTAAGATTCATTCAAGAATAGTACAAATATTATGTCATGTTGATCATATTGGTTCTTAAGAACGTATCTATATATAACTCACTAATATACCTACAGATAAAAGTAAGTTTTTAAGTTAAAGATGAGAGATCCTTTGAAGTAAATAAGTTTATTTCAAAATGTTTTTAACTTCATTTTTTTCAATCAATAATATAGTCACTTGGCTTAAAATTCAGAAAGTATAAAAGAATATGAAGTGAAAAGTCACCCTGCCGCCTGGCTGGTATGGCTCACTCAGTAATTGAGTGTTTACCCAATGCACGAGGAGGTTGCTGGTTCGATTCCTGGGTTGCTGGCTTGATCCCCAGCATGGATGGTGTGCAGGAGGCAGCCCATCGATGTTGATGTTTTTCTCTCATAGATGTTTCTATCTCTCCCTCTCTTTCCTCTCTTTAAAATCAATAAAAACATATTTTAAAAAAGTCACCCTGCCATTTCTGTTTCCCTGGAAACTTAGTTTTTCTTCTCAGAGTTGTTCATTTGGCTGTGTATGTATAGAATTCATACAAACATGTATAGAATTCAAAATACAGTAAGATTTTATGCATATACAAGGAAGTATGTTCATGTAGTATTTTATTTCCTTCTTTTTATACAAATGGTAGCATGCTATTAGCTTGCTCTTTTTTTTCCTTCAAATAATATGATTTGGAGAGAGCGTCCCATGTTGGTATATGAAGCATTTACTCGTTCTTCCTTATGGCTGCAAAGTGTTTGGCTTATGGATGTACTATAATTTATTTATACAAGATTCCTTTTGTTGTTGTTGTTAATTCTCACCCAATGGTATTTTTGTATTGATTTTTTTTAGAGAGAGTAGAAGGGAGGTGGAGAGACAGAGAGAGAAATATCAATGTGAGAGAGACACATCAATTGGTTGCCTCCCACACACTCCCTGACCAGGCTGGGGATCAAGCCTGCCACCAAGGTACATGCCCTTGACCGGAATTGAACCCATGACCCTTCAGTCTGCAGACCAATGCTCTAACCATGGAGCAAACCAGCCAGAGCTATATAAGATTCTTACTGATGGATATTTTTGTTGTTTCCAGTTTTTCTTAAAAGGCCCACCCTCTTTGTCCTCAATGTTGCAGGGAATAACTTTAAAAATATAATTTACCCAAATGTGAGTATATTTTTTGGATATATTCTCAAAGTGGTATTCATATTCGTAATTTGGACAAACACTGCAAAATTGCCCTACAGAGTAGTGGAGGAGTAACTTCTACTCCTATACATATATCCTTTGTCAGTGTAGTATATTACCAGAATCAATCTTTGCCAATTTATAAGAAGAAAATATGTTTGTATAACTTTAGTTGTATTTATCTTATTCCAGTAAAGTTGACCACCTTTTTCTATGATTTAAGTACCCCCCCCCCAACTTGTGATTTTCCATTTTGCTACCCCCTCTCCCCCAACTTGTGTATTGTTTCCTAGTCTCCATTCTGCTGTTAGGTTGTTAATCCTTTATCAGTTTGTAGGAACTCTTTATATATTAGGTCAATTATCCCTGTGTCTGTGATGAGTTTAAAAAATTTCCCCAGTTATTTGTCTTTTCTTATAATGGGCTTTGTTGTGTAGAGATTTGTTTGTTGTGGTGTTTTTTTTAATATCATAGAATTTGTCATTATTTTTTCTTATGACTTACGAATTTGGTAGTTCAATTTTTAATTTTTTGAGGAACCTCCATGCTTTGGTGATAGAAAGTGGCTGCACCACTTTGTATTACCAACGCTGCATAGGATTCTCATTTCTCCACCAACACTTCTTGCCCAGTTAGGAATTTATGACCAGTTTACCCTTGAGATTACTTTTAGTCACTGAACTTGTCAAATTTATTCCAGAGCCCCATTTTCATTCACAACTTTCATTCTTTTTTCTTCTCATATTGGCTTAGTTCAACTGCTCAATCTTTGAGTTCTGATTGTTTCTTCTGCTTCGCCCAGCCTGTTGTTGGACCCCTCCAGTTTACTTTCCCCTTCAGTTATCATATTCTTTAGCTCTATGACAGCGGTTCTCAACCTGTGGGTCGCGACCCCTTTGGGGGTCGAACGACCCTTTCACAGGGGTCGCCTAAGACCATCGGAAAACACATACATAATTGTTTTTGTGGTTAATCACTATGCTTTAATTACGTTCAATTTGTAACAATGAAAGTACATCCTGCATATCAGATATTTACATTACGATTCATAACAGTAGCAAAATTACAGTTATGAAGTAGCAACGAAAATAATTTTATGGTTGGGGGGCACCACAACATGAGGAACTGTATTAAAGGGTCGCGGCATTAGGAAGGTTGAGAACCACTGCTCTATGACTTCTGTTTGGTACTTTCTTACATTTCTTAGTTCTTTGTTAAAGTTCTCACTCTGGTCCACCATTCTTTTGAGCAACTTCTTAACCATTACTTTGAACTGTTTATCAGGTAAATTATCTCCATTATTGAGGTTTTATCTTTTTCTTTTGTTTGGAGCATAGACTTTGTTTCTTTATTTTTGCTTGACTCTTTGTGTTGGTTTCTGTCATGAGATAAAACAGTTGCCTCCCCCAGTCTTGAGGATTGGACTAGGAGATGAACCTTGCCCTATCTCTTGAATGACTCAAACCTTTGTGATTATTCAAGCAGTCTATTATATTTTTAAGAGCTAACAGTAGTTCAGGGTGTGCCAGTTCCTGCCTGCTTTCCAGGCTGTGGGTGGTAGCAGCTTTTAAAATATGCAGATATATACTGTCCTGTGGGACACAAGCTTAAGTCCCACTGGCCACAACATCCAGGCAATTTAGAAGTGTCCTGTTAGAGACAGTCTCAAAAGTCTGGCTCTAGGTAAGTGTATAATCTCCTTTCTGGGAAATACCAGCAAGCTGTAGAGAGGCAAAGGGAAAGTGCAAGATGGCGTCTACCACCCATATTCCCTGAGAGCACCTTTGTTAGCCTCTAGATCAGCCGTGGGCAAACTACGGCCCGCGGGCCGGATCTGGCCCGTTTGAAATGAATAAAACTAAAAAAAAAAAAAGACCGTACCCTTTTATGTAATGATGTTTACTTTGAATTTATATTAGTTCACACAAACACTCCATCCATGCTTTTGTTCCGGCCCTCCGGTCCAGTTTAAGAACCCATTGTGGCCCTCGAGTCAAAAAGTTTGCCCACCCCTGCTCTAGATATATGCCAAACCTGAAACCGGCCCCTCATGCTGAAGTTCCTGCACAAGCAAATAGGGTGTTCCTGCTGTCTGTGCAGGGCCCTGTGGGTAGTGGTCTCTGTAACTATTACAATCCTATTGGCCCCAGGAACTCCAGCTCCCTGGCCTCCGAGCCGGGTGATCAATGGCATCTCTTGAATAGCAGACAGAAAAAGCCGGTGCACCAGATGCTTCAAGAACTGATTCTCAGTTTGCTGTAGCTTTGGGGAGCTGGTGGATGCCAGTCCCATTGGTTCGCAAAGCTAGATGTTTAGAGGGCTCATCTTCATGGGGCTGGTTTTAAAAGTTGTGGAGCTCAAACACTTTGCTCCGTGGAGAGAAACTTTGGGTTTTGAGTTCCCTCCCAATTATGGTTGCCTTGCCACGGGTGTGATTTATGGCAAGATTGTATCTTATCCTCTCATACCCATTTTGATGTCTTTTTTTTTTTTCTTATTTGCTTGATGTATAGAAGTCAGTTTTTAGGATTTCTTTCAAAAGAAATTATTCATATGTAGCTTACACATTCTGTGTGTTCATGAGAGGAAGTGAGTTCAGGATCTTCCTACATCACCAACTTGAATAAGAACCCACATTATATCTTTATATATTAACATTTTTAGCAACTCATCTATACATTTAATTTTTCTTTAAAATTTTCTAGAAAATCAGTTTGTTTTTTAATTCTTTATTCTTTTAAGTATTACATGTGTCTCCCCACCCATTGACCTCTCCCCAGCCACTCCCACCCCTTAGAACATTTCCTCACCTCCCTAGAAAATCAGTCTTGACTTTAAATCATATTTGTTCTAATACAGTGAAAGTTACTAAGCAACCTTCACTTGAATAAATTTTCTGAATTAAATGTTATTTACCATTCTCTCTATGAAGATATTGACTGTTGCCAGTGGAATGCTTAAAACTTAAATATGGCTTGTCTATTTGCTTCTATTGAGAAGTTGAACTTGTATGGTTTCTAAAACATTTTTCTTCTTCATGGAAACCAACATTTTCTTTTTGGGGGGCAGGGGTTATTTATATTTTATCAAATTATATAATATTTAATTCAGTTATAACAAGTGTCATCCGCCATAAACGGATTCCATCTGTAACATATGACAATTGTTACTTGAAAATTTAGGGATAATTTTACAATTAACCCTAACTTCTAATCTAATATTTCTCTTTCTCTTTAGCCTATACAGTAACCCAGGTGGGATGCCTTCCTATGCTTCTCAGGGCTTTCCATTTCTTCCTCCATTTCCCCCACAAGAAGCTAACAGGACCGTCAGTTCTTTATCTGTTACTGACACTGTTTCTTCATCAACAACAAGTTATACAACAGCCAAACCTGCTGCTCCTTCATTTGGCACCCTTTCAAGTCTGCCATTACCTGTTCCCACAGCAGACACTTCAGTGCAGGTTGGTATCTTCAATAACCGATATTTTGTACCCTTGAAACATTAATTTAATCAACATTTATTAAATTAATTATTTATATGTCTCCTTGTGCCAGCCACTAAAGTAGGCACAAAAGATAAAAAAGATGAGATCACATTTTCAACTCAGTTAACAAATTCAGAGAGGTCACCAACATATCAAATAATTGTAAATAAGGAACTTCCAATAGAGTAGAAGACAAAGTCGGAAGTTATGTTGAAGACACAATTAAGGGAATGGTCAGTGCTGCTAGGGACCAAGGTAGAGCTTAGAAGGAAAATATGAATCTGTTTTTTCATAACTTTATTCTTAAGTGCCTTAAACCCCGATACAGATATTAGGTGCTCAGTTAAAATGAGTCAGATAAATGAGTGAATGCATTTATGCCTGAGGCTAGATTTTGATACATGGTAATGAATTTGTCTGGATGACAAGTGGTTATATAAAGCATTCTCTGAAGAGGCAGCAGCATTAGCAGAGGCATGGAGGCATTACCAGATGGTGTATTTGTGAAGCTGCCTGTAAAAGATCTCTCTGGCTGTCATATAGGACTTAGGCAAAGGCACAAGAAATGACCATGTAGGAGAAGCAGATTGTGGAGGGTCTGCCATAGCATACTAAGGGCTTCAAGTGTCCACTGGTTTAAAAATTATGTTCCTTAATTAAGCTAGTAACTGTTGCCATGTGGGAGTTTGCTGAGATAAGAGACTAATATTTGTGCATACAACATATAAAGGGATTTAAAACCTTCACTTTTAACCTTTAGTGAATTATCACCCATAGTAATACTCAAATGTTATAAAACATTATATCTAGCTTTACTAGTTGTAGTGTTTGTAATAATTAGAATATAGACCCAAGTGGACTTTGTTTTCCAAACTCTTTTATCATTGTATTAATGAATATTATGAACAAGCCACAATTAATAGTAAAACAAAATTATAACTTTTCATGAGTCTTCAATTTTAAAGTCATCGATATTCAAATGATGGATACTCTGTTTCTTATCTGCCCTACTGTCTCACTGAACTTAGTCATGTAACTATTCAGACTTTTGTCAACTTATTAATGTTCTCCTATACTTAATTCATTTGAGGTAACTTTATTCATATATTTCAATGAAATTCACATATAATTCTCCACACTTGTCACAGATATACTTAAGAGATTTATTTTATAGCCTGTACTTTGCCCAAGAAAGAGAGCTAAGAAGGTACTCACATGACCACCTCCCTCCCCCGCAAAAAAAACAAAAACAAAATCAAAAACAGTAACTGAAAAGAATACAGAAAAGAAAGCGGGGAGAGTAAGGACAGTGTAAAGTGCAAAGATAAAGATGTGATAATGAGAACAGGAGCAATTGAAAAGATGGCTGAAATATAATACTATTTCAAACTCTCTTTAGATAAGCCAGAATGGTTTTGGTTACAGGATGCCAGATGTCCCTGATGAATTTCCCGAACTCTCCGAACTAAGGTAAATGACTTGGAGAATAACATTGGTATTTGTTGTCTGTTGTATTTGTAAATACAAAACAGATCATCATTGTCATATCCACATTAAATAAAAATATTTTTTAATCCTCACTATTTCTAATTTGTGGTTGTCTTAATTGGGAAATTTTATAAATCAGTTTTTATGTTTTGTAGGTTGTGTTTATTGAATGACTAGTATGTACCAGGGATTTTTCTAGATGCTGGGAATGATCATTAGTTACCAGGATAACAATGTCCTTTCTCTTACGTGATTTACATTCTTGTGAAAATTATTTCATTTATATGTTCAATAAATATTTACTGAATGTAAAAAAAAATAATACCAATATTATTAATATGAATACTTAATGTAGGATAAGATTTTGTGGGGTGTTTTACACTTTTTTTTTTCTTCAGGATATACCACACCAGAAATATACAGCCAAATACTATTTTTTTCTCTTCAAATAATATATATTTTTAAAATATATTTTATTGATTTTTTACAGAGAGGAAGGGAGAGGGATAGAGAGTTAGAAACATCGATGAGAGAGAAACATCGATCAGCTGCTTCCTGCACACTCCCCACTGGGGATGTGCCCGCAACCAAGGTACATGCCCTTGACTGGAATCGAACCTGGGACCCTTGAGTCCGCAGGCCGATGCTCTATCCACTGACCCAAACTGGTTAGGGCTTCAAATAATATTTTTTCTGGATGATTATGTAACTTAGAAAAAGTTTGCTTTGAATTTTAAGAGACAACTTTTTTCTTTAATATTGAATTCACATTTTTAATCATGCATTGCTTTTATATGGATCTGTAGTCAAAAGTAAAAGATATGTTCAGAAAGGTTTAGGTGCCATCCCTATCCAGTTGCCTTTTTCACCCTATGGATATTGAGTTTTTATTTTGGCTTAACCTTCTATGCCTGCTCACATACACACAAATAGACGCATTTTTTATTGTGATAGCCACATATCTGTTAGCTGAATAAGGCACTGAGGCTAAAATTGGGAGGTTGTGACTGTTCATACAGCCTACTCTTTATATAGTCCTGCAGTGATTTGACACTACATTCAGACTACTTTATTACCCATGTGGTTGATGTTTTATTTGTTTTGAGGGTTATAGTTTGCCGTGTGTGCATCCAAAATTATTTAGAACCCTTCAGCTGGATAACTGAAAAATAATGAATTTTTATCATAATGGAGAAAAACTAGATTATTGATAGTCATTAACACATTGTCTATTCTGTTTCTAGTGTGTCACAACTTACAAATATGAATGAACAAGAGGAGATATTACTAGAACAGTTTCTTACTTTGCCTCAACTAAAACAAATTATTACTGACAAGGACGACTTAGTAAAAAGTATTGAGGAGCTTGCAAGTATGTCTTCCTTTACTTGTTAAATTTCCTGAGAAAAATGTGACCTTTACCTAGAAATAAACCAGATTTTTATTTTACAGGAAAAAATCTGCTTTTGGAGCCCAGCTTGGAAGCCAAAAGACAAACTGTTTTAGAGAAGGTGAGTTGGTGCTCATTGTGAAGAAATTCATGTAATTTATAAATACAAGAAAACAGCATTTTTATTTTCTCTTTTAGTATGAATTACTTACACAAATGAAATCTACTTTTGAAAAGAAGATGCAAAGACAGCATGAACTTAGTGAGGTAAGATTGTTTAGCTCTTTTTATTTACCATAAGAAATTTTTATCTTAATGTGTGTCAGCCACATTGTTACTTTCATTTTTATCAGAAAGCATTTATTAGGTGTCTGGCTTTATGAGGCCTTTAGATGCTGATGAACAGCCCTCGGTTATGCAACATTATAAGTCATTTGTGCTCATGCAAGAGCATATTTGGCTCCAAAACAGAAAAATATTAAAATCCCCATAAACAAATTTTCTGGGAAAGTTATTATAAAGCCAGTTTAACTCTTGCAATAAACTTTAACTATAGACTCACTTGTAAGCTTCTGGGGGGCATGGGGGGGTGGGGGTGGGCGCGGTCTCCTCAGCCCGGCCTGCAACAATGCAAGTGTTCTGTGCCCGGCCTGGCCAGAGGCATTCTGCAGCTGGGCACGGAATGCTTGCTGCCTCGTTCCCCTCTGCACCCCCACTCGTCCCCCCTGGCTGTTCCATGCCCGCTGTCCAGAGGCCCTCCGTGGCCGGGGTGGAACGCTTGCCTCGTCACTGTGGCGAAGCAAGCATTCCGCCAGGCCGCTCATGCTGCCCACTCTCAGTGGCCGCGCCCCCCCCCCCCCATGTCCCCCACCGGGACTGGGGAACTCCGGCAGGGCTGAGTGGACTGGGCGCTGCCATCTTGTGGTTATGGGCACCACCATCTTTGTGACGGAGTGATGGTTAATTTGCATATTACCCTTTTATTATATAGGATGCCTTAAATGAAAAGTGAGCAAATAGAAAAATATATAAAAGTATAATTCACCACAAATAAATTTTATGCTAGAAATCTGGTTATATGAAAAATGAAAAGCATTTTATAAAAGTAAACTCATTTTTTAAAAATCTCTAAAAGTAAAAGAAAATAGAGTTCATAATCTTTATATCTCATATTAGTAACTAACATCATAATTAACAATGTTCTGGTGTTTTTAAAATCAGGAGTTCTGGGAAGGTAAAGCCAATGTAATAAAACATAAAAAAGAAATAAAACAACAGCAAAAAAAAAGATGGTAAAGGAGAATATAAATTTATAATGGATTTCAGAAATGGTCATTCTTTAGAATAAAAGAAATAACTACCATTGAGCAATCATTATGTGTTTTACATTGCACTAAGCTACTGACATATACCAGTATTGCCCATTACTCCCCCGTCCTCTGAGGGATGTTTTATTACTGAATAGCTTTAGTTCCTTCATTTAGTTCCATTTTGAGTGAATTTTACATGCAGTACGGTAAGGGTTCGTTGATTCTGCATGTGGATCTCCAGTTTACCCAGCATCAGTGGTTAAAGACTGTCCTTTCTCTATTGAGTGGTCTTGGCACCTTTAGAAAATACTTGGCCATATATGTGAGGGTGTATTTCTGGGCTTGCTATTGCATATTGGTCTATATGTCTCTTCTTGTCAGTATAACACCGTTTGGGTTACTATAGCTTTGTAGTAAGTTTTGAAATCAGGAAGTATGGATCCTCCAACTTCGTTCATTTTCAAGATTGTTTTGGCTATTTGAGGTCTCCTGAGCTTAAATGAATTTTAGCAGAACTTACTCTATTTCTGCAAAAAAGTTACAAAAAAACCGTGGAGATTTTGGTAAGGATTGCATTAAAACTAGATCATTTTGGGTAATAATTGTCTTCTTGACAATAATCAAGTCTTCCCATCCATGAATACGGAATATCTTTCCACTTTTTTATGTCATCTTCAATTTCTGTCAGCAGTGTTTTGCAGTTTTCAGTGTACAAGTCTTTCACCTCTTTGGTTAATTTTAATCCCATCACTTTTCATGTTTTGTTCATTAGAAGTGAGTCACTAGGTCCAGCCCACATTGATGGGAAAGAGGATTACACAGGGCAGGGAAATCAGGAGTTGGGGTTCATTGGGGATCATCTTAGAGGATGCCTACCACAGTGATCTGATTGCTGACTCTCTAAGAGAGGACAGTGATTTGCCCAGGTTCTTTCATTTAAGAGTTTGCAGCCAGTGGCTTGGTCTCTCTTGTGTTAGGTATCCACCCCTATATCCAAAACTGAGGACCTGGGTGGTAGCAGATTTCCTCAGAAAGAGCCTATGTAAGGCATATAACAAATTGCTTCTCCCTCCCTCTGCCTTGTTTTCTTTCTCTCTAAGGAGTTCTGGTCATTATGAACTAACATAATACGTGATTTTCTTTTTCAGAGCTGTAGTGCAAGTGCCCTACAGGCAAGATTAAAAGTAGCTGCGCACGAAGCTGAGGAAGAATCTGATAATGTTGCTGAAGATTTCTTGGAGGGAAAAACTGAAATAGATGATTTTCTCAGTAACTTCATGGAAAAGAGAACAGTATGTAATATTCTTTGGTTAGGACAAGTGACAGTGTAATATCAAATTAAGTATATTCATAAGTAAAAAAATGTTAGCACATTACTGAGCTGGGGTTTTGAGTGCCATGAAAGAAAACTGAAAGAGCCTCTTTGAGAAAGATAGCAGCATCCTTCTATCACTTTAAACCTTCTGCTTGTGAGTACACAGCAGGTAAATCAAACAGTGGTTCTTTTTTAGAACTGATAGTGTGTCATTCCGAAATAAAGCTAGTAAAGTAGCTTTAAGTTTGTGCTTAATATTTGTAATATTCTCCTGTAATAACTTGTTTCCAGTTATTCTGGAGAATGAGCTATAGAGATTAATTTTTTAAATGTTATTAAGAACATTCTGGAATAACTTCCTGTTTGATGTTACTATTTCCATTATATTTAAAGAAAAATCAGAGTCTGCTTGGCAGTATCTTGCCCTTTGATAAAGTCCTTTATATTTACCTAATTTCTCTGAAACATCACATTTTAAAAATAACCTTTGTTACTAAACTTTGTAAAACATGTGCTATATATATGCCTATTCTGTTAAGGAGGGTGGGGCAGGTTTTATTACCCCATTTCCCATGAGAGAAAATTGAAATTCAGGGACATTAACAACTATGGCTGTAGCATTAGTAAGGCATTGATTTTTCATCTGTTGTTTGTTGGTACTATATAACTGCACCTTGAAGTATTTGTTTGTTAACCTCCCTGGTTAACAATGGTAGGATTTATTTTCATATTTTAAAAACACAAATATTGATATATAATCAGAACTGACAAAGATTCAGTTGTTTTACATTCTGGAAGTTTATAGGTAAAGGTTATCTGCCAAACAAAATTAATTTTTAATTCAACAGGTTAAAAGAATCCTACATAGAATTCTGTCATAATGTAGGAAGGAGTAGGCACATGGTTGGAGAAGTGACTGGTATTTTAAATAATTTATCTTCTAGATTTGCCACTGTAGAAGAGCCAAGGAAGAGAAACTTCAGCAGGTGATAGCAATGCACAGCCAGTTTCATGCTTCATAGGTAAGTTGCATTCCAGAAGGCTTGTGTCTCAAGCCTATTGCCTGACTGAAGTGTGCTTACCACTGCCTATTGAGCCAGCTTTAAGCATGCCACCATCATTATAGCTCTTATGCTATGTAACATATAGAATATTTTGCATTATATATTAAGCATAATGTTATATACATAAGCATATAGCCAATAAAAATCTTTTGGATATTTTCTCACGATGATGTCGGCTTAAATGAAAAGTTTTTTTTCAACATCTGATAACTACTGATGTATTGTAAACTATAATTGGTTCCTTTCTCTCAGCTGGTGTGTGAGTATACCATATCCTCACTAGTTTCCTTTGTCTTTGCTTCCTTTAAAATGAACTTCTGTCTCCTTTCCATCTCATGAGGATTTTTCCAATAACATTCTGGCCAATCCCCTGGCCAGGGTTTCTCCTTCCTGCACAGTACTGACAGACTAATCTTCTTAAAATACCACTTCATGATGTAATTTCTCTACGCTAGAACCTACAGTGGGCCCCTAGCAATGACAGTATCAGTGCCAAATTTTTCTCTGGTTTTAAACCTTCTACAATCTGCCACATATTTGAGATTATCCATTTTAATTTTCCATTTTTCCCTTATGCTATCTCATGTGTCATGTTCTTTTGTCTACACCATGTCTTTGTTCATGCTCTCACTTGATCTCAGGACACCCTTCCTTTTCTTTTCCATCTGTCTTGGCAGGGAATGATTTGGTTGTAAGAATTCCCACCCTGACAATTAAAAAGCTGTGTTATTGGGTAATGCTGGGATACATTGTAGAACTAAGTACAAGAAAGTACAGCTCAGTCACCAGAGAGTGAAAACATGACTCAAGGCCACAATAACGAAAGCAGCTCCTCTTCCTCACACCCTTCCATCAACAGTTCAGGCAGCCAGTGGAGACTGACAGGGGACTCACTACAAATTCCTGGGAAAGAAATTGGCTGGGATGGGTGGTGTCCATCCTGACCTCAGCAGTCTGGCTTGGAGATTGGTGTCGTGTGGTCCTCTGCCCACTCAGCTGGGCTGAAGGAGTGGACTTTGAGGAAGGGAGCATAGGAGAGCCCCTAAAAGAGGGAACAGACTACAGAGAGGGAAATCACAGGCATTTCTGATCTTCAGGACTCCCTTCTCTCAACGAGGTTGTGTTTAAGATTAGGGCCAGCATTGTATTGTTTTACACCTTATTTTACAAATTATGCTGATTTTTAGAGAGAGAGGCAGGACGAGGGAGAGAGAGAGAGAAACATTGATATAAAATATTGATCTGCTACCTCATGCAGGCTCCTACCAGGGACCGAGCCCACAGCCCCATCATGTGCCCTGACCAGGAATTGAACCAGCAGCCTTTTGGTGCACTAGACCAGCGGTTGCCAACCTTTTGGACCTCACAGACCACCGGTTGGCGACCGCTGCACTAGACAACTCCCAACCAACTGAGCCACACCGGCCAGGGCAAGGGTTGAGTATTAATATCAAGTGTGCCTTTCTCACAGCTTGAGAAAATGACAGGCACTGAGCAGTTGCTTACTTAGATGAACATGCTAGAATCCTTTCCCACCTCTTTCCCTCGTGGTCAAGTTATCTTTATAGGTAGGTCTTACTGGGATGAAAATTTCTTAGGTTTTTTAAAATTTCTTTTCTTTCTAGATTTTCCTGAATACATGAACTGCTGCAAGAGGAATGGGACACATAACTAAGCACATTTATATTTATGATTTGCAGATTGGCACTTCATCACAGCAGCTGACTTCACAGTATCTGTATAGATTGTATACAGAACTAAGACTGATTTTGTACACATCAGAATGATAGCTCTGATCTTGACTTTGAGAAATTTTTCTGCGCTATTTGCACTAAAAATGTTTATTTATTATTGATAAATCCTATCATATTTAAGTTCCACTGCTCCTCTCTTATTGGTTACTTATGCATGTCATTTTGGCTAGTTTCAATATTTTATAAAATTACTTCATTTAAATTTGTATTTTTAATTTGAAATGCCTTGTTTCTTTATCAAAAATGGTTGGTTTAGATTTTTTCCCCTCTCAGCCTTTTATGAAAAATTACTATTTTCAACAGTTAGAAAGACTTATTTTTCTTCTTTCTTTCTGGATAATCAAACTTTCAAAAACAATTTCTTTTAAATATTCCAGGTGTCAGTAAACATTAAACCTGCCAATGTGCCATCTCAAGAAAGTAACTTTTAATACGTATAATAAACCAAAAGAATAAACCAGCTGTTTATATATTGTTGTTTTATTTTTAAAACTAAAGATGCATTTAAGAAGCAATACAGGTAAATATTTCACCTAATAGAAGAAAATTGTCTTTTATTTAAACTGGTCCAACATAAACTTTCATGCAAATTTTTAATAGAAGTATGTGATGTGGTTGGATAAGAATAGGCTGTCTAAATTACTGTTAAAGTTAAAAACAACTTTTGTTAATAAATAGTAAATCTGTACCTAATTAGAAAGTCAGTGAAATTTTCTGACCTTTACTATGAGTTAGCTTTTCATAAGAGAAAAACTATAATAATAAATGAAATTAATATTTAATTTTAGGAGGTTGAATTTATAGTTAATTTAATTGAATTTTTCATTTACCTGGTACTATGTTCAGCAGCTTGTCTCTATTCCCTATTACAGAATGAACACATTTAATGGATAGCTGTAAAAGCTAATGAGAAAATGTATACCCGAGGCTTGGTAGATAGTACCTAAATCACAAAACAACCTAATGTATACTTTGTTTAAAATTCATCCCAATGTGCTTGTCATTTCAAACACCAGCATACAGTACAGTTTGTCTTTTCTTCATTTTTCTGTTCACCCAGAAAATATTTTTGGCAATAGAGTTTTAGGAAAAACAAAATTATGTTCTTAGACTTGAAATATTTTTAATATTTGGTTTGTGTTTAGGGCTAGTATTCACATGGACTTTAAAGATGGACTTTGGATAAAGAAATGATCTTTTATTAATTGCCTGTCTTCCTCGCACTGTGCTAGGGTGTGCCGTTTGATCTTCAAAATGACCAGAGGAGGAAGGTATAATAACTACTCCGGATTTATAGATAGGTGAGGTCACTTCTAAGGTTATGGCGGAATCTTTGGGGTATTCAGAAACCTTTCCTTATTGTTCTAGTTAGTAGAGCTTCAGTTTTCCCTGCAGTCACTGCAATGGAGGGCATAGTGGTCCCAATCTTTTGCCAACAGGTAGTTTTCTTATATACCAGGTAGATCCCAGAATAAGACACCAGCAGACCACAGCCGTTCTTCAAGGATGTCAGTTCATTTGATCCAGTAATATCATTTAACACCTACTAAGAATGAGGCATTGTGGAAATACTATACAAATATAGGTAAGACATGGTTTAGGTCAACAGTTGTCAACCTGTGGGTCGCGACCCCTTTGGCAGTTGAACGACCCTTTCACAGGGGTCGCCTAAGACCATCCTGCAGATCAGATATTTACATGACGATTCATAACAGTAGCAACATTACAGTTATGAAGTAGCAACGAAAATAATTTTATGTTTGGGTCACAACATGAGGAACTGTATTTAAAGGGCCAGAAGGTTGAGAACCACTGGTTTAGGTGCTTATCTAAAGCAAAAACAGAATTTTACATAGTCTCTTCAGCCACATAAGTAATTCATCATAATATATTTGTTCTTTTTTGTTATTGTTGTTATTCCTTACCCTAGGACATTTTCCATTGATATTTTAGAGAGTGGAAGAGAGAGGGAAAGACAGAAACATCGATTGGTTGCCTCCTTCATGTACCCTGACCAGGGCCTTGCCAGGGAGGAGCCTGCAACCAAGGTCCAGGCCCTTGACCGGAATCAAACTTGGGACCCTTTGGTCCGCAGGCCAACTCTATCCACTGAGCCAAACCAGCTAGGGCGTATATGTTTGTTCTTTAAACTATTCCAGTTTTTTTCTATACCAGTTAACATAGCTTGATTTCTCCTTCCAAAATTAATGTATTGGATAATCTCCTTACAACCCAGTCACTAAAAAGAGGAGTTTAATCGTCACTGTCAGCATTTAAAACACAGACACATTAGTTCAGATATAGGTTATATAAGTCATCCAGGATAGAAAAAGTCTGCATTTGAGTCTGCCTGTGTGAATTTTGGTTCTGTTACTGCAACAGGAATTAAGTGACTCTTTTTGTAACTTTATGGCTATACTATTTTCTTCTTATATGTTATTTATCTCTCTCCAACAAGGCAACTTTTGTTTCACTAGATGTCTCTTCAGAAGTTAAGGTCACCCAGTAAAGTCCCATTTCAACGGGCAGGGGAATAATTCTGTTTCAAATGTTCATTTTAGTAAAACAAGCTTTGCAGAACTAATTCCAGCAGTCAGAGATGGAACAGTGTAATTTAAAACATGTTAACCACGTACAGTTTCCGAAGTGTCAGAACTTATTCCACTGGTTAAGTAGAAACAACCAAATTCTCTAGTTCTTAATTGGAATTTTCCCTCATTGAAATATTGCCTACTGCCCGGCCGGTATGGCTCAGTGGTTGAGTGTCAGCCTATGAACCAGGAGGTCATGGTTCGATTCCCAGTCGCGGCACATGCCCAGGTTGCAGGCTTGATCCCCAGTGTGGGGCATGCAGGAGGCAGCCGATCCATGATTCTCATCATTGATGTTTCTATCACTCCCTCTCTCAAGTCAATAACACTGTATATTAAAAAAAAAAATTACTAACTTTACACTGTTACACTTCAGTGGTGGTTGACCCACACTCTTGGTAATATTGTCTCTGGACTAGTAATCAGAGCTTGTTAATAAGAAAGCTAATAGGTTCTGAATTCACATATACTAACCAGAGAGGAAATGTTGCTTCTACTTTATTAGGTATTTGACCCGTGTTAGAGGCAAAAGTGAGTTATAAGTGTTAGCATTTTTTTTTTAATATATTTTATTGATTTTTTACAGAGAGGAAGGGAGAGAGATAGAGAGTTAGAAACATCGATCAGCCGCCTCCTGCACATCTCCTACTGGGGATGTGCCCGCAACCCAGGTACATGCCCTTGACTGGAATCGAACCTAGGACCTTTCAGTCTGCAGGCCGACGCTCTATCCACTGAGCCAAACCAGTTTCAGCATGTTAGCATTTTTTAAAACGTGAGGAGAAATAAGATATTCCAAAATAAGGCAACAAGATTATTATAACAATTCAAAAAATATTATCTAAGGAAAAGTTAATAAGTGATCATGAAACCTGAAAGATAAGCTGAAGCAATTACAAAGCTCTTCAGTTACACAAATAGACCTATTAATCAAAAGGTTACATCTCAACACTGCCCTCTGTTGTTAGAAGTATTAATGACAGGCAGGAAGGATGATAATGTCAAATGTTTTAGGAAATAAAATATGCATCAGGAAATGAAATAAGTGGGGGGAAATGAAGATAGCAGGTGTGCAGGCAAAGGGTCAGAGCATTTTTTGAGCTGATCAGGTACATGCTGTGACCAGGAAGGTTTATGTAGATAACCTTAGGTGATGCTAGAGGTCGTCATTCATTGTTCTGTAGTGAATAAAACTTTCATAGACTAGAATAATTTTCGAAATGGGATAATACCCTTAATATTTATTTGACAAAAAAAAGTATACTTCCTGTTCTTCAACACCTAAGGAAACTAAGAGTTGGACTTTCCCCCCCTTTTCATTGCTATAGTTTATAATTATCGATTACACGTACCATTTCTTGAGTTACTTTTTATCTTAAATTGCACTGTTCCCTTATTTTGGAAGGTGTTTCTTGCATGTCCTTTATGTTGGAACTCGAGGGAAGCTTCAGGCCATTAGAAACACGGCTTCGTCAGAGTCCCGGTCCTTGGCGCTGTCCTCGCTGGGCGCACACTCCCCTCCGCTTGGAGAGCGGCAGCTTAGATCCTCCACGCCAGACTCCTGGTCGCTGTTGGCCGACAGGTCTGGGTCTGAGCTTTTCAAGTTGTCCTGGGTGAGGATCAGAGCGGAGTCTTCGTCGCCTTGGGAGGGGCTCCTGGATGGGAATGACTTCACGTGCCCACTGTAGTCCTGGGGAGTGTTGGCGGCGCTGTTGTCCGAGGTGGAGAACCCCGAGTGTTTGCTGGGCTCAGCTGGCTTGCTCTTCACTTGGGAGCAATTTAACCGGACTTTTTGGATTTTTTCCAGCCTCTAAAAAGGAAATAATCTCAGGGGAAATCATAGATAATTTATCTTTTTTACATATGCATGCCTTTAGTAACCATTACCTTCCAGCTGAGTATAATGTTAAGAACGGGATTTAGAAGGACTTGGGTTCAAAGGTACACTATGACTTTGGACAAAATAATTAGGTCCTGTGAGGCTTGGTTTCTTCATCTGTAATATAAGGATGGTAATACCTGCCTCAGCATTGTTTTCTATAAAATGCAAAAACAGTAACAGGAAGGCACCTGGTAGTCAGTAGTCATCCTTCCTTCTATACCTATATGCCACATTTTGTTTACCCGTTGATCAGACGATGGACATTTGGATTGTTCGGAATGCGTTTTACCAGTTTTCATCCTTTGATGTCAGTGAGGAAGACATTATTCATTCAAAAAGCATTCATATTAAGTTATGTGTAAAAGTACTGTACTAGGCGGTACAGATCCAGCTATAGGGAATTTTGTGTAGAGGCAGAGTTCCTGTAATGTAGGAATTTAGAAAAGGCAGGAATTACTTCAGAAGGCGGGGTGCTGTGGTTAGAGGGAAGAGATCAGAGGAAGCTGCAGGGAGGAGGGAGCATGCACAGGACAAGGAATTCAACTTGGACATGATGGTTAGAGCATTCTGGCAGCAGGGACAGTGAGTAGAAGAAGGAAGTGTCAGTTATGCATAACAAGCAGAGAATGGTTAAATTTGATCAAGGGGAGTAGTGGAGAATGAAGTGTAAAGGGTAGGTTAGACGAGTGTGGGAAAAATCTCGTGTAAGGCTAAGGAAGTTTGTTATAAAGAAAAAAGAGGTTTTAATTACAGTGCTTTTAGGGAGTTAAGTAATTTTTATTAGTATTTTAATAAGAATACTGGAATAGATTAATACAGTCCAGCTTTTCATAAAGCTTGGATATCTTTGGGAAGAGTAGATAAAACTGACCCAATGATGACATGAGTGGACTTTGAATGGCAAGTCTTTTAGCACAACTCCGAAATTCTAAACACCTAACTTATGCCTCATTGTTAATTCTACACGTTCTTTAATTCAAGGTCTCTCCGCCCTATG